GGCCCTCAATAATTTATTTTATAATTCTTGTTATAAACAATTTGTTAAAAGGATGACCAAAAAATGTTTCCTTAGAAGAAAGTTTGTGAAGATTGTTGTATATTACCATGGAGCCATTAAACCCTTATATAAGAAATTACAAAGATGTTGTTACAAGTTAAGCCTTCTGTGTTTATATTTTGTTAGTCAAGATTGGTTTCCTTTTGGGGCTGGAGCAATAGCACAGTGAATAAGGTGTTTGCCTTGCACACAGCCAACCCAGGTTCGATTCCCAGCATCCCATATGGTCCCCTGAGCACTGCCAGGAGTAATTCCTGAGTACAGAACCAGGAGTAACCCCTGTGCATTGCCAGGTGTGACCCAAAAAGACCAAAAAAAAAAAAGATTGGTTGCCTTCTACATTACATCCCATTCAATCTGGTGTGCTACACCTGGTTTTTATCAGTGTTATAGAGTTTGAGATATTGCGAGCTGCAAATGCAGCCTCAAGCTTCAGGGTGTTCGAAATTTTTAACAGGGTAAAACAGCTAGAGTTAAAATTTTAACGGGGTGGAGGTTTTGGAGGATGTGCATAATTGCCAGGTCTTCCAAAAGCAGAGGAAGATTGGTGAAGGTAGCCCATCCCCGATTCTATTCGGTCACTACACCACACCACACATACCTTAGTTTTTCAACAGATTAATTTTTGGATGCGACTCATCTGAGCAGTAGAGTCCAACTCCAACTGGAAGCATAGTGGCAATTGTGGAGGTTTTCAGCTGCTGGGGCTCTGTTTGGGCGAGTGCTGGGCTCATCTGTCCTGCTCCAGAAGCCTTGGACAACTATATCTTATACAGGGTCTGGAAGAAATTCTTCCATTTGTTGATCTCTTTCAAGATTTACTTATGAATCTCTGGATTATGGCCCCAGAAGCTTACTTTACGATTGGGGTGATTTGTGGGCATGACTGCTGGGGCTTCTGGAAGGACAGGAAAAAGGAAGAGGTAGCCCATCCCAATGCTGAAAGTCTTGTGAGATTTCAGTCACAAAATGTGCATACCTGAGTTTTTCAACAGATTAATTTCTGGATTAGACTTGTCCAAGCAATGGAGTTCAGCCGGGATCATGGTGGCAATTGTGGAGTGTGGAGGTTTTCAGCTGTTGGGGCTCTGTTTGGGCAGAGGCTGAGCTCATCTGGCCCCCTGCAGGGTGCCCCAGACAACTAAGCCCTGCACTGAGACTGGAAGAAATTCTGCCCTGGAGACTTTTAAGTTAATTTTTTATGAGATCATAGAACTGGTGACTCATAAAACTAGAACTCAAATTTGGGTGTCCCTTTCACTGAACCCCATACTGCTAGCTACTCTGCATAACATGGAATTAGCTTTACCTTTGTCCTTGTCACCTGCACACAATCACGACTCTAAATCTTCCTTCTTCCGGAAGCCACTATCAAGCATTCCCCCAAGTGTAGGTGGCGTTCTTTAGTCTTCCCTAGAATATCCTGACCTCATCTGTGTCATGGATATACTGATTTGAATTACCTCTATATATGCTTATATTTCACTAACCTGAATTTTTTGTTCTTTTTGTTTTGGATCAGCAATATTCAGGGCTTACTCCTGTTTCTGTGCTCAAGAATCACTCCTGGTGAGACCAGAGGATCATATGTGGTTATGGAATGGAACCTGGTAGGCTGTGTGTAAAGAAAATGTGCTACTTGCTGCAGTATCTCTCCCACCACTGGGATGCATTTTTGTTGTTGTTTATTTTGGGGGTCCACACCCAGTGGCGCTCAGAGCTTACACTGGATCTGCACTCATGCATCACAAATGGCAGGGTTAGGGGACTAAATGAGATTCAGGGGATTGAACCCAGTTTGGTCTCTTATAAGGCAAGCACCTTACTCACTGTACTGTACTATATGGCTCCAGTCCCTGGGCTGAATACTTGAGGTCAGGAATTAAGTATGACCAGTGTGGTAGAATTTTACAAAAAAAAATTTTTTTTTGTATTTTACAAAATTTTACAAAAAAATTTGTAAAGAAATTTTACAAAAAAAAATCCAACTCCATTAAAAAATGAGGAGAAGAGATGAAAAGAAACTTCCTTAAAGAAGAAATACAAAAGGCTGAAAAATGCTCTGTAACACTAATCATCAGGGAATTCAAATCAAAACAACAATAACATATCTCATACCACAGAGACCGGCACATATCAAAAAAGAACAAGAACAACCAGGGCTGGCATGGATGTGGGGAGAAAAGACTCTCATCCACTGCTGGTGGGAAACAGTATGGACATTCCTAAAAAATCTAGGAAATGAGCTTCCATTCCACCCAGCAACTCCCCTTCTTGCAATATACCTCAAGCCCCCCCCCCCCCAAATAAAATTGGAGAAAAGACCCCTCTGTTCCTTGTACCACTATTCACATTAGCCAAAATCTGAAACAACACAAATATCCAAGAAGAGATGACTGGATAAAGAAACTATGTCACATATACACAATGGAATATTATTTGGCCATAAGAAAAGATAGCACTGTAGCACTGTAGCACTGTCCTCCCGCTGTTCATTGATTTGCTCGAGCAGGCACCAGTAATGTCTCCATTGTAGACTTGTTGTTACTGTGTTTGGCATATCAAATACGCCATGGGTAGCTTGCCAGTCTCTGCCATGTGGGCGGGATACTCTCGGTAGCTTGCCAGGCTCTCCTAGAGAGACGGAGGAATCAAACCCCGGTTGGCCACATGCAAGGCAAATGCCCTACCTGCTGTGTTATCACTCCAGCCCAAGAAAAGATAAAGTCATAAAATTTGCTGCTACATGGAGAGACCTGGAGAGTATTATGCTGAGTGAATCAGTCAGAGGGAGAGAAACAGACACAGAATGATTTCTCTTATACAGGGTATAAAGAAACATAAATGTGGGAATAACAAACGTCCAAAGGCAATTAAAACAAATAACACAGGAACTTCTATTCAGTAGAAAACCTGCCACTTAAGAGGGATGGGAGATAGGATAGAGAGGAAGCAACATCTATGGTAGAGGGAAGCATTCAACAGGGAGGATGAGTTGACGTTGAAAGTTGGTAAAGTGAGTATGGAACTGTATCAGCAACAGTATTTTAAATCACTGTGTTAAAAACTTATTTTAAAAATACAGGAAAAGAAAAAAGTGCTTCTTGTAGAAGCAAACTGGTGGGTAAGGTGGGGGTGGGGGTTGGTCTCTGAGAAAAATGGACACTGGCGAAGGGAGCAGTGTCGAAACATTGTATGCCTGAAACCAAATCATGAATAACTTTGTAACTTCATGATGGGATATTAAAAATAAATAAAATATTTAAAAATGAAAGAAATTGTTTCTGCTTTAAAAAATGCTTGACCAGTGTTTGACACTGAGTAGTTCTTAGTTCTACAATTAAATTCGAAACAAACTTTATCAGTTTAATAAATACATCTGCACCCACATCCCACAGCTGCCGCCATGTAAACCCAGCTTCCCAGCTTCACGATCAATCTAGGAAGAGAAGCAAGCCACGCTGCTAAAATCCACAGTACACCTGTTTCCCAGCTGAAAACTCTGGGGCACTCTTGGGGGGGCAGGGGTGGATTGGGTCCCAGGCCTGCCAAATCCCCTACATCCATACTCTACAGATACTGCCGAGCCAATGGCCCAACTCCATTGCTTCACAACTAATCTCTGCAGAGATGGCAAACCTATGAAAATTACAGGTACATTTGTTTTCAGGCTGAAAACTCTGAGTGGGGGGTCTTCCCAGTGTGGAGGCAGGTTCTCCTCCCTGCTCTGCATCCCTCAATCTTCAGGAAGCCCCAGCAGCAACAAATGCACCCATTAGCCACCACTATGTACTCATTGATTCAGTTCTACAGATTCTGGAGCGCCTGCAGTAAGAAGGACATCTCTAAACTTTACAATACTGACAGCCCAGTAGGAACAGAAAAATTAAAAATAAAATTTTTAAAAGAAATACATCTGAGTTAAGGGATGTAACACAACAGGTAGAGCTCTTGCTTTGTCAGAAGTAAGGTCCTGAGTTTGACTCTAGCACAAGAGGAAACAAAAGGGAGGGTCCTCAGAGGAGGTGATGGGAGGGAAAGGGAGGGAAAGAGAGGAGAGGGGAGTAGAGGAGGAAGGAAGAGGAGAGGAGAAGGAGGAGAGGAGAGATGAACCACTAAATCTCTCGAGCCTACCAGTACCTGATACAAAACAGGTTTCCTATATTTATTGTTGAATGGAGAATGAACTCCCCTGACTTACAGTGACTGAGTCACCTTTGAGAAAAACTCAGTTTCTTGACAACAACCTTCTAGTAATAGTTTCATATTTAAAATTACTTCTAGTATTCTTCCAATTACTTTTAACTTTTAAAATGTTCAAATTAATTTACCATCTTGAAATTAGTTGTTACTCTCCAATTTAAATCCTTGAATTCTCATGCCCGATATCTATCACAGTTCCAGTATATGAAGGGTGAAGTTTTCACTCAGCCTTGAATCTATTCAACTATTTCAAACTGGTTAGCAGTACCTGTCAAACTCCCTCGTTGAACATCATGAATTTGGGGGTGGACAGTTAGCCTCTAATTCACAAGTTTGCTTTTCTCTGGGATCTTAGGAAAGTCACAACTTCTGGGTCTGATTCTCTGGGTATGACTATGGCTCATTAAAGTGGGATAACGATAGACTTAAAATATTATTTGTCAAGCAAGGCTGTAAGATTTTTTAAAATATATAAAACATGGGTTCTAATTAAAGAAAGAAGAAAAAAAAACATTTCCAAATTACTTTCCAAGCGTTTTGCCTGAGGTGACAGTCCCTGGGACAAAGAAGTCCGAAGGCTTCCTTCCACCTACCGGCTACGCATCCCAAGTCGGCTCCCGCTGTGGGCGGGGCCACCGGAACCTCCTGGGACTCAAAGGAGGAGAAGGAGGCGGAGCTAGGGGCGGGGCCAGGCCCTCAGGGGGCGGGGCAGAGGCGGGCGAGGGGCAGGCTGGGAAGTGGCGCCATATTGGCGTCGCCGCGCTGTATTGTCATAAATAGAGCCGGTTTTGTGGTGTTTTCCTCACTCGGTTGAATGCCACGACCGTAGTAAGTGAGGAAGTAAACGAGCTAGAGAGCTACTAGCGACAGAGGAAAGTGGACAGAGACGAAGGGACAGAAAGAATAGGACTCCGGGGCTTGAGACACCCGCCGGAGAGGCAGTCGCAGGAAAGCGATGAAAGAGATGTCTGCGTAAGTGGCGGGGGGCGGCGGTTGAGGGCAGCGCGGAGAGTGGTGGGCTGAGGTGGTGGGGCGGGGACCCGGATTCAGTACCGTGCCCCCCGCTCCGTGCGGGGAGTTGGCCCCGGTGGATTCCTTTTCCCTCTGCCGGGATCGGCATGCTCTTCTGACCAGCCCGGGCTGGACGCGCGGACTCCAGAGTTCCCCTCAGCCACCAGCGTCCCGCGGCTAACGGTGCCCACCGCGGAGGCTGTGGAGAGGTGGAAGGCGCGCGTGTCCGTGCCGAGAACGGCCGGTCCCTCTCCCGCCACCGGCGCGTCTGGTGTCTGCATTGGCGCAGACGCTCCCTTGCGGCCCCCGCCTCCTTCCCTGCCGGCGCTCTGGGGGTCGTGGGCACCCGCGGGGGCTCGCGAGTCCGGGGTCGCGTCTCCTCAGAGCCTCTACCTCCGGGCCTCCTCGCACGGCAGCGAGTCCCCCGGCGTCTGCCCGCTCCCGCTCGGTCTCGGTGCCTGACGCGGTCCTGACAGAGCGACGGAGCGAGCGGCTCCGGCGTTGCTCTGCTGGGAATCGAGCCGCACGGAGAAATGCGGTGAATAACACGAGTGTCGTTTCGCCACCCTCCATCTGTCTCGAAGCACAGCTCTGCGTGTGTGTGTGTGTGTGTGTGTGTGAGAGAGAGAGAGAGAGAGAGAAAGAGAGAGAGAGAGAGAGAGACTGACTGACTGACTGACTGACTGACTGACTGACTGACTGACTTTATTTCCAAGAAGCCAGGCACGTCAAGTGCGGAGGCGTCTGCGTCTTCCGTGGTGGTCACTTTCACGTCCCGGCCTGGCATCTCCCAACAATCCCGAATTTGATGTCACTTTTTGCCGCAGGTCCTAAAGACGTTAGTGCCACATCTGTGTGTGTCCGTGACTAACGGCGTTTTCCTTGTTTGTAAACTTTACGTAACTAGTATCACACTTGTGACTCCTCCGCTTGTTGCTTCAGCACAACAGCATCGTTAAGCGTTGTAAAGGTTAATATTTTTTTTTCCCAGCCGTGATTCTTATTTACGGCCCTGGTTATAGAATGCACCCTGTTCCTTTTCCTGAGAGCTGCTGTTTTAGGTTGTTTCAAAGTTTTTTTTGTTTGTTTGTTTGTTTTTTTATTAGTGAAACACCATGAGGTACAGTTATAGACTTGCAGATTTTTGTGCTTGGGTTTCAGTTATACTATGATGAAGTACCCATCCCTCCACCAGTGCCCATCCTCCACCTCCATGGGCCCCAGAATCCAAAGTTTTGAACGTTACAGTGTAGCAGTCAATATTTTTGTACATTCTGCTTGAATAGTGTGCTGAAGTTTCCCTAGGGTGTTCAACAGGTGAAATTGATGAGTTGTGAGGAATTCTGTGGCTTGCTTCCCTCTCCCCCTACCCACCAAATGCCCCCAGAGCCAGATAATTAGATAGATTAGTTCTAATGCTGGTAGGAACCTTGTAAGCTAACCTTTTCAGCATTCAAGTAAGAAATTGGGATCAGAGAGCATAATGTAAGACATGACATAATGGCATTTATTTCCAGACCTCCCAGAGTTTTGGCGAAGTTAGTTGTGTGATCATAAATGGCACCCATTAGCCATACACACAGAGACACAATAAGTACCAAGACACCTCTCTAGCTTTCTTAGAGGGAGAACGTTTAATCTTGAAAGAGAAGTTCTAGGAATGGAGAAGTTGCTCATTGGAAAAGTATTTGCCTTGAGTGTGTGAGGTCCTGGGTTCTATTCTTGCCACCATAAAAAAAAAGGTATAATTTTAACTAACTTACTGAAGTTTTGTTCTAAGAAAAAGTAAATTTGGGGACAATTAAAAATCACTAGTATTGATAATTCTCATTTGTTTCTTTTAGTCATTGAACTATTTATTTACTTATTTTTGTTTTGGGGCCACACCTGGCTATGCACAGGATTTACTCCTGACTCAGGTTCACTCCTGGAAGGCTTGTGATCATGTGGGTTGTCAGGGATTGAACCAGGGTTGACCTCATGTAAGTCAAATGCCTACCCACTATATTACATCTGTGGCCCCATCATTGAGCCATTTTTAAAGGTATTATATAGGTCAGTGTTTTTAACCATTTTACACCTGCAGACCAGTAAAAACAAATATTTTATGGACTGGTAAGGCAAAAATTTTAAATTTTGTGATAATATATATCAATACATAATAGTGTCATAGCATGATCCAGAAGTACCATGTGTTAAGTGATAATAACTTTTCTCAGACCAATAGGAAATTTATGCTACCAAATACTGGACATATATTAGTCATTGTTCATCAAAATAGACAATTTTAGCATTTGTTTGATTCTCCCTCCCCACCAAATTATATCTTTAACTAAAGAGCAGTAAGGTATGAACTTAAAATAAGTGTGAACCAAAAAGAAAAAAAAAAGTGTGAATCTGGTTATGATAAGCCAGTGTTTTGACTACTTTTTTTTAACATTGTACTTCTGTATTATTGTTTATAGAGCTTATTGACTTAAAAGATGACTCTTATATAAAAAGGATGGTAAAGATAGATGATGGGGTTTATTGCTATTGTGTATTTGTTTTTACAAATACACAATATTTACTAGCAAATTAAAAATGTTACTTCATCTTAGTCCTGAAATGACTTTGGAATTTCTGATATAAGCTCAAAATGTCAAGTATTATCTTGCAGTTAGTTTAAGACTAATATCCTGATGGTTAGAAACTTTTGGAGGCTGTTTTGTTATTGTGTCCTATACAAGGTTGTCTTTTATTTATTTATTTATTTGTTTTGTTTTTTGGTTCACACCCTGTGATGCTCAGGAGTTACTCCTGGCTCTGTACTCAGGAATTATTCCTGGTGGTGCTTGGGGAAGCTAGGGGCCAAACTTAGGTCGGCTGCATGCAAGACAAGTACCCTACCTGCTGTACCATCACTCCAGACCCTAAAAGACTCCCCTTTTAAGAAAAAAATTTTATTTATTTTTAATTTTTATTAGTGACACCATGGGGTACAGTTGTAGACTTATAAACTTTCATGCTTGGGTTTCAGTTATACAATGATCGAGTACCCATCCCTCCACCAGTGCCCATTCTCTACCACCAAGGGTCCCACTAACCCTCCCACCCCCCTATAAGACTCCCTTTTAGTATAAAGAATTGGATCATTTTCAGCATGCAAACAATTTGGGTATTGGTCTAAGTGAAAAAATCAATTATTTGGACTCACAAAATCTTAGGACTCTAAACACTGATTCAGGTAAATGACGTTAATATGGATTTCTCAAGAACAAATGTACTAGAGATTTAAAAAAGAAAAAAGAGAGAGAGCCGTACCGGTTCATGTGGATTAGGCAGAACAAGCATCCCACATGCTGTACTATAGCTCAGGCCCCCCACAATGATCATCTAATGTTTTTGTTTCTTTCATTAATTCAAGTAGTTGACTGCTTTTCAAAGGTTCAATTCTAGATGGTACTTGACAAGCCTGCAGGGTGTAGTAGAAGTGGCTCTGGCTCAGTTCCCTCCTTCAGACTCTTTGGATTTGAACTGAGTGGTTTTGGCATTTTTGCCTGGCTTTGGTTTGAAAAGACATCCTAACCATCATGAAAATAAACACACCAAAAAAGTCCCTGTTCTGACTGTTAGTACCACATAAACTTACCTCTTTCTTCATTGTTTTGTCCAGGGTTTGCATACTTTGATGATTGTGATAAACCAGAGACCACACATGTTTGTGGCACTGGGTATCACAAAAGCAGTGTTGGTGAATACAGGTTGAGCTTGCTGCTTCACACATACAAGACAGGTGCTTTACCACTGAACCTCACATAACTGTAATGCCCAAGTTAAAAAAAAATTATCTGTGTGTGTGAAGAAAGGTAGTTTTTATTGACTGAAACTTGTTTAGATAGATGTGAGAGAAAAGAGGAGAAATATATGTTCAAGAGGCTTATCCAGAGTGGAAATAAGCAAAGAGACAGGGAAGATATGTGTTTAAGTTAGAAAACAGGCTTGAAGAGCAAGCTTGCCTAAGTAAATTTTGTTTTGTTTCATAACTGGTTGTGAATTGCCAAAGTCATTACTCTGTACCTGACAGAAAGATGCGCCCTTTGGGAGAGGGGAGACACACCCGGCAGTGACCAGGGCTTTGTCCTGTCTCTGAGTTCAGGCATCACTCCTTGGGAGATAGGGGGACAATATGTGGTTCTGGGAAAGGAACCCCAGTCAGCCTCATGCAAGATAAGTACCCTACCCACTGTACTATCATTCCACAATACCACCCCAAGTAAATTTTTAAGGTTAGCTAAATGTGTTTGAATAGAGGGAATTTAGTGTATCATTATATGGTTCCTTTTCCACCCCCCCTGATGTTTTTCTTTTTAAAAAAATAGAAACACCGTGCTGGACAGTCAGCGTCAACAAAAGCATTATGGAATTACCTCTCCAATTAGCTTGGCATGTCCTAAAGAAATTGATCATATTTACACACAAAAATTAATTGATGCTATGAAACCGTTTGGAGTGTTTGAAGATGAGGAAGAACTAAACCACAGGTATGTCATTCAAAAATACAAAATATTTTACAGATCAATGTTTAATCATTCTACAAATATCTAGTACCTATTAATGTTTCTACATAGGGATTAAAAAAATTAAACACACACACACAAAATTAGCTCTTCTTGGCTTACATTTTAGGTGGCATTTACGGATGGGGTTCATCTCTAGTAAGCCAAATAAGACAAATGAGTGAAATAAAGTATTTTTACAAGTGCTGCTGAGAAAATCTTAAGCGGGGAGTGGAGGTTCTCAGGGAAAACCTCATTGAGAAAGTGATCATTGAAGGAAATTTTGACAATGAGTATAGATATATGAGGAAATATCTTCATAGCAAAAGTTCTGAGGTGGGCATATACTTACTCTTTAACTTTTTTTTTTTTTTAATTTTGGGGACCACTTTCAGCTTGGAGGACATCAGATCCATAACAAGCTGTGTTCTGTGTAATAGTGGTACCAGGGATTGGACCGATGGAAGGGGCATGTACACTTGAATCAGATTATTCCCTACCTATCTTTCTTGGGTATTGTGGGTTTTTTATTTTTGTCTTTGTTTTCGTTCAGGCTGGCGGTTTAGTGCTAGCACCTGAGAATGCAGTACTGCTCAGGCCTTGGAGTGCTGGTCGGGGACAAAGATTCGGCTTTGAGTGGAATAGGAAACTATTAGGGTTTTGAGTAGAAGATTGACATAACCTGCTCATGTATTAACATACTCTGGCTGCTATAGTAAGAATAGAGGAAGAGTCAGATCAGAATTGGGAAGATTAGTTAGGGGTCTATTATAATAACCCAGTGAAGAAATGATGATGCTTGTAACCAGGGATGGCATGGCATTGGAGGTAATAGATGATAGAATTCTGAATATATATTAAAAGTAGCATTGTTTAATGACAGTGGAATGTAAGAGGTCAAGGATGATGCCAAGGATTTTGGTCTTAGTGCCTCAAAGGATGGAATTCCCTTACCTGAGGAACGCTGAGGGAGAAGCAAGTTTCGACACATCAGGAATTCAGTTTTGTATGTGTTGTCTTTGAAATGCCTAAACTATTTTTTTGTTTGTTTGTTTTTACTAAGGATCTGGACACATGCTATTAACTGTTTATTTTAATAATTGTTTTTTTTTTAATTATCTAAGACCTGGCTATTAGAGATTGATAACCTCTATTATTCATTGAATTAATTTTATTTCATAGTAAGGCCAAGATGTAACTTGGGGTAATAATGCCTCTGCAGCCTTATTGAAGGTAATTTTTAAATTTTTTTCATTGGACTTTTTAGACTTTGAAAATAGCTCAGGACAAAATATTAAATTACTATCATTAATGCTTACCTCTTTGGAAATCCTAGAGACCTAAGGGGTACCAAAGAAATGTGCCATGTGTCACCAGATATGATAGCATGTGTTCTATGCTTTTATTCTAACACCACAAAAATACTGCTCATTATACTGTTCTTTATATGTTTGTTCGTTTGCTTTTTTTTTTTCCTGAGCGGGGGTGGGGGGTGTGGAGAGTGGAGGGAGGGCAGTGTGGTGCAGTATAGAAGATTAAACCCCAAGTCTTACACATGCAAGGCAAATGCTCTACTGCTGAGCCTCATCCCTGGCCTGCTTATGTATTTAATTACTTTTTAAAAATAGAGCCACATTCATCGGTGTTTGGGAGGTTTTCTAATTGTGCTTTTAAATTTTAATTTATTTTTTTGTTTTTATTTTTTGTCACACCCAGCTATACTCAGGGGTTACTCCTGGCTCTGCATTCAGGAATTACTCCTGGCAGTGCTTGGGGGATCATATGGGTTTCCCGGGATTGAACCAAGGTCGGCCGCATGCTAAGCAAGCGCCCTACCTGCTGTACTATAGCACCAGCCCCTGAATTTTAATTTTAATGTTTAATTTTAATCTGATGCATTGTTTTTTCATTATAGGTTAGTTGTTCTTGGTAAATTGAACAATTTAGTAAAAGAATGGATTTCTGATGTCAGTGAGAGTAAGGTAAGACTAAACAGCATTGAATTCATTCTGTCACTATTGTCATTAGTCCTGGTTATAAGGTGCAGGAATTGAGAATAATTTGAAATACATTAAAGGTAGACTTTCTGACTTAATTGGTAATGAAATATCTCATTTAAGTCACTTGTAATGGACCAAAATTTAAATGTCAAGAAATCAAAGACCAGATTTTAGACTTCAGCTCTTCAAACACTGGCTTGCCTTTGTGTAAGGTAAGAAAAGACTTGAAGGGAATTTGAACTCTTGTCTGTGCATTTTATCCTCTCAACTCAGTATTTTCTGCCGCAACTTGTAATATGTTTGTTAGTTTATTTAAATACCCGCCTGTTTCCCAAAAAAGAGTTTCCTAATACTATTTTATACAGTTTCTCCCTTAAAATCGGGTATTATCTTCTAAAATACCTTTTTCTGGCTTATTTTGAGTATTTTATACTTTTTGTCTGAGAATTAGATTAATGAATATTATTTTACTGCCCTAAATGAGGTGAGGTATGTTCAACTGGTTGAAATTTTGCCACTTCTGAGGTGTCTCATGCCGTTGTATTCTGTGTTTTGTTTTTTTTTTCTTTCAGTTTTCCCTTCTCAGTTATAACTAAAAGTTAATGTCTAATATCTGTAGTTCTTTCTCTCCTTAAATTCCCCCTTTTTTTTCTCTTCATATAGGGTTACCCTTCCAAAAGTGATCCCTGAGTATGGAGGATTCAGGGATCACATTCAGGGATCACTGGATATGGCCCCTTAAAAGCACATAAATTAATAAATCAGTTCCCTTTCTGTCCCTTAATCTACATGGGTTTAGAAATTATATAAACATCTGTTAAAATACTTTATTTTACAACTTCTGTTGTTTCTGTACTTGTGGCAATGTTTAGAATTGGTTTGTTTAAAAAATGTACTTTTATAAGATCTGAGGCTCTCCAAAGATTCACTGAGTTTATTTTTGCTGTTGTTAGGTGGCTATATCTGGTGGTGCTGGGGTGGCTACTTCTGGCTTGGTACCCAGGGGACAATGCGGTCCTGAACATTGAACCCAGGCCTTCCACATGTAAAGCCTGTTGATTTGTCTTCCTGGCCCCAGTTTACTGAGTTTAAATAATGGGTCTTTATGCTGTTTACTTTTGTTGCCAAAAGCTATCTGGCTCATTTCTGAGCTCTTCTTTAACTTGATTTTTGGGGGTTTTTTTTGTTTTTTTTGTTTTGTTTTGTTTTGTTTTTTTGGCATCATACCCAGAAGTGCTCGGGGACTTCTGGCTCAGTGATTAGATCACTGTTTGGTGGTGAGGTTTAACCCAGGGCCTACATGTAAAGCATGGATCCAACCATTGAATTATCTCTCCTGCTCCTCTGTTGTTATCTCTTAATATGGTTATCAGTAGTTGAAGTTTTTAGGTAAGTTGTAGGAATTGATCAGGTAAAATGCCAGTCTTGAGTTTTTGTTTTTGTTTTTGTTTTTTTTTTTTCCTGAAGGGAGAGGAGAAGGGACAGTTGGGCATCCAGCAATGCTCAGGGGCTATTTCTGAACATTGCTGGGTACAGTGCTCAGGGCTCTATGCTTAGAAGTGATGCCTTGAGGTTTTCAGGGAATGATGTGTAGTGTGCCAGGTACCTGTGTAGCAGTATGCAAGGCAAGTACCTAACCTCCTATACTATCTCTATGGCCCTAGCTTTGAGGGTTTTTTTTAAATTAATTAAATTATTTATTTTTTATTTTTGGGCACACCCGCCGATGCACAGGGGTTACTCCTGGCACTGCATTCAGGAATTACTCCTGGCGGTGCTCAGGGGATCTTATGGGATGTTGGGAATTGAACCTGGGTTGGCTGCATGCAAGGCAGATGCCCTATCTGCTGTGCTATCTCTCCAGCCCCTTTTTATTTTTAAATAAAACAGATAGGTTTTAACATTTTATGTTGTATGTATAAGAAAATTGACCTTTTGTTATCAGTTATTTCTCCATTTTTTAAGTTTGAAAAATATCTGGGAAACTTGAGTTCGGTCAGAGATCATTTAACTATGCATTATTGAATTACAGTTCAGAACTTAAAAAAGACATTTTGACTAAAAGTTATGGTTTGGTCACATCTGTCATTCAGTATATCTCTTGTTTCATGAATCATGCAAATATAGATTTCAAGGGTAAACTAAAGTAGTGAGGATAAACTAAAAGGTCCTAGCTTCTCTGTCCTTTTAATTCATAGTAATTATCAATATATTTACTGATCCTTTCCTAGCTATAAAATTATTTGTGATACTCATGAAGTAGTATTTATTAAGCAGGATATAACAAATATAATATCCTATTATACAGATATTTCTATTCAAGGTTATCAGCAGATACTATTTTTTGGAACTTCGTACTCACTGGACTTCACGGGAAAATATGAAAAGTGGTAAACAATTCTTACCTTTAGGAACTTAAATATTGCTGGAGAGATTAAACTTACATAAATATTTTAAAAGATCAATAAATGTAATACAGAATAACTTAGATAATAGTTTGAAATAGAAGGTGATGGAAAGACATGAGATGGAGATAGAGAAGGCCTCATGGAAGAGGTGAAACTTGAACTTTAAAGAATGTATGGTGGTGAGCTATCCAGAGGCCATAGGCAAGCACTCTAGGCAGCAACAGTAGCAAATGCAATGGAAAGGGAGAGACTCGATTAGGTAACAGTTTAGACAATTGGAGATTTTGGCCTCCATCAGTTGAGACTAATTTGGAGCTCCAGAGGGGATAATGAAAAGACAAGGCAAGAAAGATGTGTAAGAGATTATTTTGGAGATCTTTATAGTAAGCCCATGAATGCTTCAGTTTTTAGAGTAGTTTACATGGGCTAGTTTGACTTGGGAGTCACTCCTAACTGCTTAGGTTTCCTAAGCACCTGGTGGTGCTCAAAAGGGCCATATATGGTGCCAGTGATCGAACCTGGGTCAGCCACAGGCAAGGTAAGTGCCTCACCCATTGTACTATCTCTCCAACACTGGTTAGTTTTGAACATGAGAATTGTAGAATAATTCGAGAACATCACCAATGAGTTTTGTGCAAAAAGAAGTGAGAAAATAAAGACTACAGAAAAAAATAGCTTATGATACTCTTTAAGTAGGGACTGGCAGTTGAATAGAAAGAAGGCAGCATATCAGATTTAAAAAAAAAGTTGGTAAGCTAAGAAGTAGGTGAATTATTATAGGCATGGACAGGTACAGTAAGGTCAGTGAGAAATAGAAAATATTGGTTTTTATCACAGGAATGTTTAATGGCGTGAGGTATTTTGGAACCTAGGGTGACTCACATGTAAGATATGCACTCTACCACTAAGCTATTTCCCTTACTCCTGTTTTGCTTGTTTCAGGCATGGATATTGAATTAGATTAGAAAGCCTGTATGAAGATAATATAATAGGCAGATAACTGGCACTGAAGAGGTTGAAAAATAACATTATTGTGTACAATTAGAAAAAAGTCCATGAAAGTTGTTAGATTAACTCATAAAGAAATCTTGTGAAGAATCTTCTTTCCCTTTCTCCTCTCCCCTTCCACTCCCCTCCCCTTTCTTCCATTCTTGGGGCCAGGAGCAGCACTGTGGGGTTACAACTGACTATGCTCAGGGCTTACTTCTGACTCTCTGTTTAGGAATCAGTCCTGGCAGGCTTGAAAAATGACCCCACCTTCTTGCAGGAAAGTTGTAGATTGTGAGTTAAATTAAGATGTCTGTTACAGAAACTAAAGGAAAGATAGAATTGATCCAGAGTATGATACTTCAGCACATTAGCTTGATAGTTTAGATTTTCTTGTTGAATATTAAGGCAGTCAGAGGGAACAACTAGAGTCATGATAAAAATGTTTTTTTCAGGTGGAGATGTATACTTGTGTCTGGGTATGAATTTTTCTCCCATCTAGGAAACCCTCTTAATTTAAAGATTCAACCAGAAGAGACCTAAAATACTTTGATAATTTCATTTTACTGAAGTTCACAGTGTCACATATGTCCATAGCATATATGGACATAAAAACTGAATAATTTTTATGCCAAATAATTTTTAAAATTGAATGCCTTTTGTTTAACTTTATTTTAGAATCTTCCACCTTCTGTTGTGGCTACTGTTGGTGGTAAAATTTTTACATTTGGATCCTATAGACTTGGAGTACACACCAAAGGTAACAGCTTTTCTCTGCTTACTGATAAGAATTTTCTGTAATAAACTCTTCTTTGTTCACAATTATAAAAACACAAAAGCTCAGGTATTGACCCGGTAGTAGAGCACCTTCCTTGCATGTGTGAGGCCCTAGTTCCATCCTTCATAACCCTCTTGTTCAGTAACATAAGTGTCACTGTTAGGATTCATTGCACAAACCAAGTGTGTAACTCTTGTGTCACACCAAGTATTTGACTCCAGGGCATTGCAACAACAAAGGGAAGAATGAAAAGAGAAGAAAAATATTCCCATTATTTTGGTTCTGAGAACTTTATATTTTTATAACTATATACTTTTATATTTTTCTATACTCACATACTTAGTTTCTGTACATATTTCTGTCACAGTCACAGTCCTCCCATTGTTTCATCAATTTGCTCGAGCGGGCCCAGTAACATCTCCATCATGAGACTTGTTGTTACTGTGTTTGGCATCTCGAATACGTCACGGGTAGCTTGCCAGGCTCTGCCGTGCGGGTGAAATACTCTCAGTAACTTGCCGGGCTCTCCGAGAGGGGTGGAGGAATCGAACTCGGGTCGTCCATGTTGGCCGCTTGTAAGGCAAATGCCCTACCCTGTGCTATGTGTCTTAAAAATATGATAGTTACTTTTAGCATACATTCTCAAAGAAATGCTTGATTTGCAGGGGCTGACATTGATGCACTTTGTGTAGCTCCAAGACATGTGGAGAGATCTGATTTTTTTCAGTCTTTTTTTGAAAAACTGAAACATCAAGATGGAATTAGAAACTTAAGGGTAAGTGTTCCTTGATACTTAGTATCTTGAACTCATTAACAGATCTGTTATAAAAACCGGAACTTGTAAGTATTAAACTATTCCGTTACATTGTATTAAAATAGTGGTTAACACTGGGGAGAGAACTCAGGGTGCTAATTGCATACTGTGTTTACTGGAATCCCAGGTTCAGTCCCTGTCATTACATGGTCCCCTAAATTGAGTGTCAGAATCACCCTGAGCACTGTCAAGGGGAATAAAGATGATGATCAAGAACATAATTTTAGGGGCCAGAAAGATAGCACAGCAAGTAGGGCACTAACCTTGCATATGGCCAGCTCAGGTTCGATGCCTGGCATTCTGTATGGCCCCCTGAATCCCATCAGGAGTGATTTCTGAGTGCAGAGCCAGGAGAAATCCCTTAGCATCACTGGGTGTGGCTCAAAACAAAAAATCACATAGACTTATTTGTAATAGAGATTTGAGTTTCAATTTAGGAACCTTTATTAGCTTTAGAATTTCTTCACTTGCTAAATGGGTATATAATAACTTTATTTTGGTGCTAGGAATCAATTCCAAATCCTCATTGTCCTCATTGTGATCCTTTTTTGGAAGGTGTTTTTGAAAATTGTTAATTAATATTAACCACTTGTTAAAATATCTGAGAAATGGCTGATGCATATCAAATGGTGGCAGCTATTATATGTAAGGTCAGTTAGTAACTATATGCAAATAAAATATTAGCACCAATAACTTGCCTTAGATCTATAAATGAGATAATATACAAGGCATTGTTTACGGGAGGGAATATTGGAAGAACTAAATAAATGTAGTTATAATGCAATCTGAAATACGAGGATAAAAAGTTTGAAGGAAATGGAGATGGTTAAGGATTTCTTAGATTGAGGCAGTTCAGATGGACTCTCCAGACTGGGGACATATCTCCAGAAGTAGAATATATATTTTCTCTATTGTACTGTTTCTCTACTGTACTGTTTCTCCAGCCCACATTAGTAATCTTTATAAATTATTTTCTGTTTTTCTGGGTTGGGTGCGTGTGTCACACCTTGCAGTACTCAGGTGTTACCTACTGGCCCTGCACTCAAGAATTACTCCTGGCTGTGCTCAGGAAACATACGGGATGCTGGGTGTCAACCCTGGTCAGCTGCATGACAGGGAAATGCCCTACCTACTATACTGTTGCTGCGGACCCCTCATTTTCAGTTTAAACTTAAAAAATAGCACTCAGATAATGTCAGTTCTGCTTGCCATTTTCTGGTGACCATCCTTAGGAGGATGTTAGATCACTACTAAATGTTATAGTGTATCTTAAAGTACAGTGTTTACCTGGAATGTAAAAGAAAGGACATTTTACTTTTTCCCTCAAATCAAAATAGAAGTGAAACAATTCACATTAAAAAGGGTTGAGAAAGGACTTATACCTTGTGTATCATTTTCCTCTTTTGTAGGCTGTGGAAGATGCCTTTGTTCCTGTTATAAAATTTGAATTTGATGGGATTGAAGTAAGTGTTTAATATTTTTCTAACCTTTTTGATTGAACTACTGAATGTTTTATAAGAATTTTTATATAGACATGTATTTTAAAGAATCAAATGGTCTTAATAACCACTTGCCTCTCTAGATCTATTTCTCAATCATGGAGAACAAACCTTTAATCTATTATTATAATTTTGATTAGAACAGTATTTAGTATCTACATTATAATCTTAAACTTCAAAGATTACAGTCCCTCATATGGTAACTTGAGCTTCTACAAAGTATGCCAGATTTTATTCTTTGCTTTACAAGTTAAAATTGTTTCCTGTTTTAGGGGCTGGAGCGATAGCATAGCAGGTAGGGCATTTGCCTTGCACGCGGCCAACCCAGGTTCAATTCCCAGCATCCCATATGGTCCCCTGAGCACCGCCAGGGCTAGTTCCTGAGTACAGAGCCAGGAGTAACCCCTGTGCATTGCCAGGTGTGACCCAAAAAGCAAAAAAAAAAAAAAAAAAAAAAAAAAGTTTTCTGTTTTAGGAGCCAAAGAGTAGTACAGTGAGTAAGATACTTGTTTGACCCATATGATCCCTTGAGCCCACCAGGAGTGATCCATGAGCACAGAGTCAGAAGTAATCTCAAAGCACCCAAATTCTTTTCTGTTTTATTTGCTTATTTTTTTATACTAAGACTTAGTCAAACTTAGTCAAACTCAGTCTCTTGTCATTTTCTAAATCACCTCTAAATATGGTTCCTCAAGTTATCGTTTTGGAAAAATAGCTTACTGAGTCTCCTTATGTATGCTATTGTCTCTCTGATGGATATACAACATTATCCTGACATTCTTTTTTTTAAACTATCCTAGGATTTTCTTTTTCTTCTCTAAAATTTTCTTTCCAGTTAATATTTTTTCCAAAGAAAAATGGCAAAAGCAATTGGAAACGTCTCTAGAATTTTCTTTTTTATTCTATTCATTTTAGTGGAATAAATTCTGTGTCTCCCCAAGAAAGAACTCATATTTTTTAAAACTTCCTTTTTTTTTTTTTTTTTTTGGTTTTTGGGTCACTCCTGGCTCATGCACTCAGAAATTACTCCTGGCAGTGCTCAGGGGACCATATGGGATGCTGGGAATCGAACCCGCTTTGGCTGCATGCAGGGCAAACGCTCTACCCACTGTGCTATTGCTCCAGTCCCAAAACTTCCATATTTTTAATTGTCTTTACTCTCTGCGCACTTAGTTGGTGGCTTTTTAGGTAGGAAATAATGTTTCTCAGGACTTTGGAGGCCTTGCTTTTTTGTCTTCCAGCTTTTGTGCTGTGTTGAGAAGTGTGATGCCATTTTGATTTGTTGGTCCTCATTTTATAAACCTGGTTTGACTTTTTAAAAAGCTTGTGTTTGAGATTAGAGGGATACTAGGCAGGCAAGGTGTTTGCCTTGAATGCAGAGGATCCAGACTCGATCTCCATCACCACATACCACCTGCCCCCTACCCCCAAATCCTTTTCTCTGTTGTATGGAACTCTTAATATTTGGGTGTTGGATCTAAGAATGCTTTCAAGTCCTGCCTCCAAGGATTTCCATTAATTTAAAGTTTTTCTTACCCTAACAAAACTTTATAATGACGTGGGAAGGAGGATAATGGATTAAAAGAAAATCTAATTTTTCTTTTTGCTGTTTTTGAATCTTTCCAAAGATTGATCTAGTTTTTGCAAGATTGGCAATACAAACGATATCTGATAATTTGGACCTAAGAGATGACTCTCGACTGAGAAGCCTTGATATAAGGTGTATTCGCAGCCTAAATGGTAAGCTTCTAAAAACAAATTCCAGATACTGCTTGAAATTATCTTTCTTACAGAGTGTTTACGGCACTTTTTATTTTTGTGCTGTAGGGCTACTCTTGGGGAGCCCAGCAAGCTACCAAGAGTATCTTCCCCATACAGCAAAGCCTGGCAAGCTACCTGTGAAGTATTCAGTCTGCCGAACACAATAACAAGTCTCACAATGGAGATGTTACTGGGCCCGCTCGAGCAAATCATTGGAGGAGGAGGACAGGAGGACAGTGACAGTGACAGGGCTACTTTTGGCACAGTGCTCAGGGTTACTCTTGTGCCATTTGGGGGACCATGTGATGCTAGGATCAAATTTTACACTCAAAAATTTTTTGACGGACTAGAGAGGTAGTACAGTGGTAAAGGTACTTGCCTTGCTTGCAGCTGATCTGGCACCTAAAATGGTTTCCTGAGTACCACCAGGAATGATCTTTGAGCACAGAGCCAAGAGTAAGTCCAGAGTATGGCCTCAAAACAAAAAAAAAATGTATTGAGGAGCTTATGTTTGTGGGCTGTATCTTCCAGTATTTACTGTATTAGAAATGTAAATCAGCTAGATTTTCATATCTGCATATAGAGTCAAAACTTACAATAGTTTTGTTTTGAGGAACAGAAAAAATATCCTGCCTCTCAAAGAGAATGTAATTGGAAAGAAGAATATTGTAATAACCTTTTCAGATAATTGTGGGTCTTTATGCTATACCTATGACAGTTTTTTCTTTTTTAACAACTTGAAATATAGTTAAATACCATAAAAATTCAACCTTTCTGAGTGTATAATTCATTGGTTGTTAGTATGTTCAGAGTTGTACCCAACAGATCAATTTTTTTATTATTTTTTATTTATTTAAAAAATTTTTTAATGAATCACTGTGAGATACAGTTATATGCTTACAAACTTTCATGATTAGATTTCAGTCATACAGTGATCGAGTACTCATCCCTCCACCAGTGCCCATTCTCCACCACTAGTGTTCCCACTATCCTCCCCACCACCCCCACCCCACGCCCTGACCCCCACCCAACGCCCACCGCCTCTGTGGTAGACACATTCCATTTTACTCTCTCTCCTTTTGGGTGTTATGGTTTGCAATACAGGTAGTAAGTGGCCATCATGTTTGGTCTATAGTCTACTTTCAGCATGCATCTTCCATCCCGAGCAAGCCCTCCAAGTATTGTACATTCCATGGTTCCTTCTCTATTCCAGCTGCCTTTTCTCTCAGCATGTGAGGCTGGCTTCCAAGCCGTGGAGTAATCCTCCTGGTCCTTATCTCTACTATCCTTGGGTGTTAGTCTCCCATTCTGTTACTTTGTATTCCACAAATGAGTGCAGTGCTTCTGTGTCTGTCCCTCTCTTTCTGACTCATTTCATTTAGCATGATATTCTCCATGTTGATCCACTTATACATGGATTTCATCTTTTCTAACAGCTGCATAGTATTCCATTGTGGATATGTACCAAAGTTTCTTTAACCAGTCATCTGCTCTTGAGCACTCGGGGTTTTTTTTTCCAGATTCTGGCTATTGTGAATAGTGCTGCAATAAACATACAAGTGCAGATGTCTTTTCTACCCAACAGATCAATTTTAAAACATTTTTATCTCTAAAACATCCCTCAGACTACTAATTTGCAGTCATGAATTCCACTCTTCACGCCCCAGTCTGGCAACTACTATTTTATATTTGCTTTTTTCCCCCTACATTTCATATATCATATAATTTGTGGTCCATAGTTCTGATTTAAGTTAGCATACTGTTTGTGAAAGTCATCAAGTTTGTACATTTCCTTTTTACTACCAAATAAAAACAATTACAAATAAAAACAATAGCAGGGACTGGGAGAATATCCCCAGCATTGTTCAGGGGCTACACTAGGCTTAGGACATTCCTGGTGGTGTTTAGGGGACCTTGCAGTGCTAGGGGTCTAACATGGACCTTTCACGCACTAAGTGTGCACTTAGCCATTTAAACTCTCCCCCTAACCCCAAGTGATTATATTTTAAATAGACTATAGACTCTGTATCATATCCATTGGCTTTAATTCTCTGTTACAGTAAAAGTCATTAATCTCTCTTATTATTTTGACTGACTCATCAGGTTATTTGGGTCTTAAGTATTAATGCATTTCATTCTAAAATGGGCTCCAAAATCACATTCATTAATATCACTAATCTCATTAAAAAAGTTAAATGCTAAATTGCTTAGCTCATAATAATGGCTATTGTCCAAAATTCAGATTTTTACTTGAAAGCTTGGATTTTATCACTGACTTTTTTTTACCTGGATGTAAGGGGCATGTTCATTTTTTAGGAAATATCTTGTAAGGGGCTAGAGAGATAATAAAGCAATAGTAAAATAATATATCTAGTATCTTCCTTGTAGCTAACCTGGGGATCAGCACCACATGCAGTCCCTAGACTACCACCAGAATTTATCGCTGAGCAGAGAATAAGGAGTAAGTCCTAAGCACAGCCTGGTGTGGTCCACTCCTATCTCCCCCATCCCAAACAAAAAGAAAATATCTATTAAATATTTAAGTTTGAATAGTCATTGTCACTTTTTTCAAGCAAAATGGGTGTACCTTGAAAAAAAACGGGAAAAATCAGCTTACCTTGGACACTTTCAAAACATTATATAACATGCTTTTCCTATTTAGTTTTTTTTTTTTTTTTTGTTTTGGGGCCATACCCAGTGGTGCTTGGGGGTGACTCCTGACAGGCTAGGGGGACCATATGGGATCAAACCCAAGTTGAACATGTGCAAGGCGAGTGCCCTACCACTGTATTTTCTCTCCAGCTTCTCTTTTCCAATTTATATGTGACAGTGATTATCTGTTGTCTGTTACTATTTTGTGTTTCATCTCAGTTTACCACTAAGTTACTAGCAGTTTTACAAACTACATTTGCACTCAGTACAAATTTTAGCACAGTGAGGGCCAGAGATAGCTCAATGGGCTAAAATCATGCTTTGCATGTCAGGCCTAGGTTCAGTCCCCACACACATGTGATCTCTGAGCATTGCCATTAGCAATCCCAGAGTACCAAGTTACATGTGGCCTAACCAAACCAAAACGAAAAAACCTGGGCTGGAGCGATAGCACAGCGGTAGGGCATTTGCCTTTCACGCAGCCAACATGGCTGACCCAAGTTCGATTCCTCCGCCCCTCTTGGAGAGCCTGGCAAGCTACCGAGAGTATCTCGCCTGCACGGCAGAGCCTGGCAAGCTCCCCGTGACATATTCGATATGCCAAACACAGTAACAACAAAGTCTCCAATGGAGACGTTACTGGACCCGCTCGAGCAAATCGACGAACAACGGGAGGGCCTTTATCTTTTTTTCCTATGTTAACACCACAGTGAAAGGTAAAGCTTTTTTTTTTAATTTCCTTTAATATTTTGGACTACATTCTGGTGCTTGGGGGTTATTTCAGGCTCTGTGCTCAGGAGTAACCCTTGGATTCTTAGGGGACCATATGTGGTTCCAGGGATTCAAACAGATTGGCTGCATGCAAGGAAATCGCCCTAATTGTTTAACTGTCTTTGTAGCCCCATGGAAAGTTTAGTTTTATTAAAATAACCTTGATCTAGGTTTGGAGAGATAGTACAGTGGATAAGGCATTTTCCTTGCATGCATCAGTCCTATGTTCAGTCCCCTACACTCACTGCACGTGGTCCTCTGAGCACTGCCAGGAGTTGTTCTTGAGTGTAGAGCCAGGAGTAAATCCTGAAATACCAAAATAATAAAAAATAAATTTGACCTAATACAATCTCAAGAATCCCAGAATGTACTTTAGTTTATAGCATTATTTAACTTTACCCATGCGTTTTACTATGCTTCTAGAGAACAACAATCACATATTTAGATGAGATTTACATTAAGACAATAATAGTCAAGTCAGATGTGGGAGAAGGCTAAAAAGATACTCAGAATCATCGCCCTATAATAATTGGGTTGTGTTACCAATGTGCTTTTTAAGTTCTTGATAAAGAACTTAAAAAGTTCCTCATAAGTACTACATTTCAAATACACAGAAAAAAAACAAACTCTCATTTTATTCCTGAATATTTTTAGCATTGAATCTGTTGCATAATGAAAAATGAATGCTTTTTCTTTTTCAGGATGTAGAGTTACTGATGAAATCTTACACTTAGTGCCAAATAAAGAAACCTTTAGACTCACCCTTAGAGCAGTCAAATTATGGGCAAAACGTAAGTATCCCAAACCATTTATTGTTGACATTGCAAAATATAATCTTCAGTTGCTAGTGATAGAAACATGTAAATTCCTGTAAATTCCTGATGAGAACATGGAAATTCTATCACTAGTGGAGATTAAGGTCTGATAAGTTTTGAAGAAGCTTTTCTTTTTCAGGAAGTGTTTATACTCTTCTGAGGTGTGACACTGTCTCCTCTCAGATCAAACTAAAAACCCTGGCTTTTGTATGGTGATGGGTATGGTGTTGGAATTATGTGCATGAGAAACCATTATTAACAGTATTATAAGCCACATAATATCACTGTATCACTGTCATCTCGTTATAAATCAATTTGCTGAAGCGCACGCCAGCAACATCTCCATAGTATCAATCAAAAAAAAAAAAACCCCACAGCTTTGATTTTCCAAATCTTAGCTTCTAGTAAGGCTGTTGGATGTTGAAGAGTGAAAAACTCTCAGTACTCTTCAAAATCTCTGTGGGTAGACATCTTACTACCTTAGTATTCAAGAGTGGTTTGTAGTAGGTGTTCAATAAATTTGTTCAAGAGATTAAACTAGAACTACTGATAATAAAACTAGAACTACTGGGCCTGAGCAATAGTATAGTAGTGCAACAGATAATACATTTGCCTTGCATACAGCTGACCCAGGTTTGATCCCTGGCATCCTATATTGTCACCTGAATCCTCCAGGAGTGATTCTTGAGCACTACTTAGTGTGAAACCCACAATAAACTGATAATTTTAACTTGTTTTTACCTTTAACTCTTAATGAGTTCTAAAATTACATATCTGTTGTTGTTGTTGTTGTTGGCCATATCTCCCAGTGCTTAGGGATTATTCCTGGCTCTGTGCTCAGGGATCTCTCCTGCCTCTGTGCTCAGGGGTCATTCCTGGTGAGGCTAGGGGACATATGAATTGCTGGGGATTGAACCTAGGTCAGTTGTGTGCAAGGCAAACATCCTATCTGCTATATTATCTCTCCGACCCCTAGAATTACATTTTATACAATTCATAAAAGAACTAGTCCTGAACTGACTCAGCATATTTTGTTGTACTTGTAACTATGTTTTTAAATGTAGTTTTGTTTTGTGTGGGAGACCTCCTAAACTCTTCTCAGAAAGCCCTGGGAACCAGTCCCAGTAGTTTAGCAAATGTGGTCAGAAATGGTTCAATGCTAGGGCCTGGTGATGAGGTGCTCCTCAGATCCATCTGTGCTGAGGACCACAGGGCCACTGATATCCTCAAGGATGTGTAGTGCTGGGCTTTGAAATTGAGGTTTTGTGCTTGCAAGTCATGTGGCACCCGATCCCTGAGCTATCTCCCTGGTCCCTGACTGGCACCAGCAAATACATAATCTAAAATAATGCTGTCAGCTAAGGATGTAGCTCAGTGATATAAAACACTCGCTTTCCATGTTTGAGGTCCTGGATTTGATCCTTGGCATGACAAAATAGGAAATAACACTCTTTAGAAAACTTGTTAGGTGATGAAATATACCTGCTATCCTGTACAGTAAATGTGGCGATTGAGCTCTTAAAATGTACATGTGAGAAACTGAAGTTTTAAATTTTATTGAAATTTAAAATAGTACTAAAAATTAAAATTAAATCGAGTTAAGTACTAGGAGAAGTTGAAAATACATACCCACTTTGCCACACCTGTGTTCAAACAAGTGTTCATAATAGCATTGTTTATAATAGTTAAAAAGTGGAACCAGCCACATGTCCATTGCCTATTGAGTGGATATTAACTCTGTTAGATGCGTGATAGGCAAATATTTTCTCCCAGTCTGTGGAATGTCTATATTCTGGTCGTCTAATAAAACAGTGAACCTAACATGAAGGTCTAGTTAATTTAATGTTTATTTTAGAGAAATGTTCTAAGCAATTATCTTAGGAAGTTACTTGTTTCTGTGGTTTAATACCATGGTTAGTTGATCTAACAATAATTAACTTAAATTTTAATACATAAATTTTCTAGGACGTGGTATTTATTCCAACATGCTGGGATTCCTTGGTGGTGTCTCCTGGGCAATGCTGGTTGCAAGAACTTGCCAATTATATCCAAATGCAGCAGCTTCCACTTTAGTTCATAAGTTTTTTTTAGTTTTTTCAAAGTGGTAAGTATTTATTCACATGCTTTGACTATTTAATAACATCTTCCTTATATAAATTTGTTTGGAAATATTAGAGGTACACATAAACTTGTTTCACATTCCTTTTAGTTTGAAAACATCATATTTAAGATAATGATGGAACACCAGATGGTATTTTCTGATAGTGGTCTGTAAATGTCTGCCTTTAGCTTGAGAAGAATGGTCACAGAAATTTCACTGTCAGTTTGGAGGTTTTTTAAGATCTCTTCATATGTAAAACAGATTTATAGCTTCTGCATGTACTTGTTAGTATTTTTAGTATATGTTAGCTGTTATTGTTATCAGAATTAAAACCATATAAACAAATGATAAGGAAAATTCAAATGTAAATTTATTACAGCTAGTAGACAGTAGTTGGACTGGAGAGATAGCACAGCAGGTAGGGCGTTTGCCTTGTACGCAGTTCGATTCCTTTGCCCCCCCCCCCCCCCCTCGGGGAGCCCGGCAAGCTACCAAGAGTATCTTGCCCGCCCGGCAAAGCCTGGCAAGCTCCCCATTCCGTATTTGATATGCCGTATTCGATATGCCAAAAACAGTAACAACAAGTCTCACAATTTGTTGTGAGACATTACTGGTGCCTGCTCGAGAAAATCGATGAACAACCGGAGGACAGAGCTACAGTACAATAGACAGTACTAATTGCCCTTTTTTCGTGAGTGGGGCAAACTTTATGGTGCTCAGGGGTTACTGCTGATGCTGTGCTTAGGAATTATTCCTAGCAGTGCTCAGAGGACCATATGAAATTTTTGAGAACATTGCTTTAAGCAGTTCTTTCCTTTGTATAGTTCCTTTCCTAATTTTTCTTAATACCAAATAATCCCAAAATGTATAAAAGCTGGAATAGAATCTATGGACTTTAACATTTTATATACTTAAAATGAGGTCCTATGTGAATTAATTTGCTTTATTCACGTTAGGGAATGGCCAAATCCTGTGCTGCTGAAGCAACCAGAAGAAAGTAATTTGAATTTACCAGTTTGGGATCCTCGGGTATGTAACTTAATAAGGAATTTCATTAAATCTTATGGGAAAAAGATGTTTCTCTAGCTCAAATCGATCTTGTTATGGCATTTAAAATTGCTTATATAGGACTAAATGGATATAGCAATCAGAATATCACAATTCATTGTTAAAAGCCATCTTAAGTTATTGCTTACTAATAATAAACTACTGAATTTAAAAAATTGCAACTTAAAGCAAATTTCTGCACCAGGGAAAAAACTCAAATGTCTGGAACTCATACTGTATATGTGGGAGCCCTGGGTTCAGTCTATGGGACCGCGTGGTTCCTGAAGCTGTGCTGCAAGCAACACCCAAAGCTCTGTATTAGGACTAGCTTCTGAGTACTTTTCATAAGGAAGACTTAATTCAGTCTCTAGCACTGCAAACAAGAATAATTGGACCAGATAAAGCTTTTTTTGTGGCTATACGACTTTATTTTCCTTGTTTTAAAACACCATTGTTTAGAAGATGCATTGTCAGTTTTAGAGGACAAATAAATTTCCAGTTTCTTTTGACTTTAATTCTCAGACTTAAGTAATGAACATAGTTGGGGAAAGAAACTGTATTACTTAGACATGAGGAAGTGTAGTATTAAATTTATATTTCATATTCTTCAGACTTTTGGGGAAATGAAGTGTGGACAACTGAAATAGGAGAATAGATCAATTACTCTGCTTCTAATTTCACAGGTAAATCCATCAGATAGGTATCATCTCATGCCCATAATCACCCCTGCCTACCCACAACAGAATTCTACGTATAATGTGTCCACATCAACTCGAACAGTAATGGTAGAAGAATTTAAACAAGGTAAACATGTTTGCCCTGTTGCTCTTTACATAGACCCACAAAATTTTGGTTGACATTTTTATTCTTTATTACAGTGTTAGATTGGAAGAGTTGTGTCATCACCCTGTTTTTTTCTAAAAATGATTTCAAATGTTTTTCAGTGATTGCTTTTAAGATAGACAAAGTAAAGCCAGCCAGACTGGTTAAAATACTTTTTTGTGCTCTGAGAACAGACTAAATATATATTTTGGTGGGAGGAGGGTGGTTTGGCCACAACCAACTTTGTTTAGAGCTTACTCCTCGCACTGTGCTCAGGGATCATTCCTAGCAGGGCTTGAGGGTCCATGTGGCATACTGGAGGTTGAACGCTGGTTGGCAGCATGTAAGACAAAGTTCGATAGCAGCTATACTTGCTCCATACCCACTTTGTTCTACCCTCTCCTGATATATTACTTTTTTAACTACAGATTTAGGTGGAATTAGATGTTTGGAGGGTAAGGAATAAAGAAACTGGTAATACAGATGGTAAAATGGTTATGGTTACTAAAGAGCAGTATTTTTGAATTTAGGTCTTGCAGTCACAGATGAAATTCTTCAAGGGAAGTCAGATTGGTCCAAATTACTTGAACCACCAAATTTTTTTCAAAAATACAGGTATTTTATTTTCGGGGTTTGTGTGTGTGTGTGTGTGCACGCGCGCGCACGTGCGCGCGCGCATGTATATTTATAAAAAAGACAGTTACTTCAGAGTTAATATAAATGACTGTTGCTACTTAGATTTCAAGTAAGATATAGAATATTTTAGTAGAAATCTTGTGATAAAAAAGTAGTACCTAATGGTATTAGTGGAGTTTTTTTAATTGCAGAGTCTAGAATTTTGTGAGAATCAGAGCACATTTAAATTTTCAAGTCCTATGTGCTTATATTAACTCTTTTGTTCATTGGAGGGAGAAAGGAAAAGTACTGATGGAAAAGCAGACCCTAACAATGTTTTTGTTTCTCCCCCTCTCTGCACCAATGTTCCTGAAATTTTTCTTAGACATTATATTGTATTGACTGCCAGTGCATCAACAGAAGAAAATCATCTAGAATGGTAAGACATATTTCATGTTCTTGACCTACCATATAGTGATAACATAATGCTTTGCCATTTTCATAACACTGATTTTCAAAATACTAAGTTTTGTTGTTTTTTTGTGCCATAGCTAGTGGTGCTTGGTGTTTGGGGAACCACATGGTGCTGGTTCTAACCCAGAGGGCAGAGATCTAACCTAGGGCTTCTACATGCAAAGTATGTGCTCCAGCCCTTGTAAGCCTTCTCCCAAGCCCAAAAACATTAAATCTTATTGGTGATTTTTAATTAACCATGAATTTCTGTTTAGGAAGTATCAAATAATATTTCAGAATCAGGAATGACACAAGATAAAGGTGTATTTTAGGATTATCGCCTTTCATTTTTTATTAGATTCAGGTTTAAGCAAAACTTGTATGATTTGAGGGGTTCAGCTACCTAATCCTCAGTGAGGTTTTCTTTTTTTATCTTGGCCATCAGGTTTTCACTATCAAAACTAAATGAAAACAGTATTTTTTTTTTAATGTTTTGTTTCATTTTTGGGCCATACCCAATGATGCTCAGAGGTTACTTTCAGTGTGGTGCTCAAGGGTTACTGGGCAGGATGTTTAGGATCAAATCTCAGGTTTCCAGACACTGAAGTTCTTTAGCCCTTTGTGTGATCTCCACAGCCCCATTTTATATATTTTAATTCAGGAGATGTTGGTATGAAAGACTTCAGAGTTTCTTCATCAAAAGATTGTTTCTTTTTTTTTGTTTTTGGTTTTGTTTTTTGTTATTGGGCCACACCTGGCTGTAAGCAGGGCTTACTTCTGGCTTTTGTGCTCAGGGATCACTCCTAGCAGGCACATATGTGATGGTTAATTGTGTGCAAGGCAAGGTCACTACCCACTGTTCTTTCTCTCAGACCCCTAGAAGATACTTTTTTAGTATATCTAAATTTATTCTTCTGCCTCTGTATTGAAATTCATGGTTTCATGGGGCTGAATTTCAGGTCACCAAATGACTGGGATTTTCTTGATCAGATTGCTGGATAAAAAAAGCATTGCCATCTTATTTGGCTTTAAGATTTTATTCTTTATTTCATTGCTCATTGAAAGAACTCTAAAATTCTTTTGCTAAATATTTCATTTTTCTAAATTAGGGATCTGGAAGCTATGACCCAGACCAAATTTCTGTTTGCTACCTATTTTTATAAAGTTTTTTTGGAAGATAGCCCCTCTCATTGATTACATGTTGCCTATAGCTGCTTTTATGCTACAATGCAGAGTTGAAAAGTTATAGCAGAATTTGATGCCTCTCTAAGCCTAAAATAAATACAAAGCCTGAAATAAGTACTCTGTCTTTTGTGTACTGATAAAATTTCCTAACCTAAATGACTCAGTTTTTGTGTATTTGTTGTTGAAGCACACAGTGATAATGTATAAGCTTTATCATGTGTTGGAAAATATAAAAATGTTCTTTCTAATTCATAAAATCATTTTCTTTAAATGTAGGAGTACTGCTAATTCATAAAATCATTAGTAAATCAACTTGCTAGTTGACAGGTCAGGTTTGATTTCTTCTTTTTGTTTTTGGGCCATACCCAGTGGTGCTGAAGGCTTACTTCTGTCCCTGCACTTGGTGATTACTCCTGGTGGCATTGAAGGACTATATGCAGTTCTGGGAATTCAGCTTAGGTCAGCCAATGTGCAAGACAAGTGCCCTGCCCACTATCTCTCCAGCCATGGTTATTTTTTTTAGAAGAAGATATAAAACTTTTATTTCACATAGTATTAGGGATTGGTCCCAGGGCTTCACACATGCAAATCACATATTCTACTGTTGAATCACATCTCCAGCCCAGTAAAGACACTTTGGCGGGTGAGGGGCATGGGAAGGGAGAGGGAGAGATACGGTTGAATCACACCCAGCAGTGCTCAGGACTTATTGTTGCCTCTGTGCCACGATAATTCATAGTGGGCTTGGGGGGACCGTATATGATACCAAGAATTAAAATTCAAGTCAGCCACATTTAAAACAAGCACTTACCCTCTGTACTATCTTTCTAGCCCCTATATACATATTTAAACAGCATGTTTCTTTCTTTACTGTAACATTGGTTCATAACATTTGAGTAATACTTTATAAAGATTTTTATTGTTGGGGGAGGCCAAGGTTTGTGCCACACTTGGCAGTGCTCAGGGTTTACTACAGGCTCTCTGCTCAAGGTCACTCCTGGCAATTCTTGAGGGACCCTATGTGACTTATTCGACATCTTGAATGAACTTTAAACAAAGTCCAGTATATTGTACTGATTTTTTTAAATGAATTATCAGCTAATATTTGATTTACTTGTATGTAGCTTTCAACTTTGTGTGTGTATGTATGTCTGTGAGTATGTGAAGCAAGATATTTTTTATCAAACAGAACTTGCTTAAAAAGATGCAGTGGGGTAGTGTAGGGTTAGGGGTGTGAAGAGAGGAAATACATGTTCAAGAGAGGATACAGATTTCTCCAGAGTGCAGAAAGCTAGCAAAAGATATGGAGACAAGTGAGATATGTGTTCAAGAAAGAACATGAAATTGAAGAGCAAGCTTTGTAGCTTCCAATCTTTATATGGAAGAATTGTATCTGTTGTTTCAGGGTTGGATTAGTAGAATCTAAAATTCGTGTTCTTGTTGGAAACTTGGAACGGAATGAATTTATAACCCTTGCCCATGTAAATCCCCAGTCATTCCCAGGAAATAAGGAACATCATAAAGAGTAAGTTAAGTTTTTAATACTCTATTTCTTTTCTTTCAGTTTTTTTATTGAATTGCCATGAGATAGATAGCCCATTACAAAGTTGTTCGTGATTGAGTTTTAGTCATACAATGTTCCAACAATAATCCTTCCTCCACATTTCCCAGAACCAATATCCCCAGTTTCCCTCCCACTACCCCCAATTCTCTCCCCCCCACTCTACTCTATGGCAGGCACCTTTCTACCTTTCTTCTCTCGCTCTTGCTCTCTCGCTCACTCTCTTTCTCTTTTTAGACATTGTGGTTTGCAATACAAATACTGAAAGGTTATTATGTATAACCCTTTACCTAACTTTCAATAGTCATTCCTTATCCAGCATCCAGCGTCATCATTGCCAACTATTATAATACTGGTCCCTTCTCTGCCTTACCTACTCTCCACCCTTCTTAAATAATGTTATTTTACACATGCATCATTTAAGTTTAGTTGCTAGATTGTCATTTATCAAGCATTAGTGGGAGGTAATAAATATGTTGAATATAAGTTGTCATTCACTAAAACTAAGTACATGCTACATTGGTAGCCCACACAACCCAACCAAAAACTTTTATCAAAGTAAAGACTTACTAATCATTTTGGTGCCTATTAATCTTTATAACAACATGGGATCATGTATTAGTGCTTTTGGTGTCAGTTGTAAGAATTTTGCTAAGCCATTAAAATTTGTATTTATTTCCATATAGACCAAGTATTAAAAATTGCAAATATACTAATGGAAATTCTTTACACTTTTTAGCAACAATTACATATCAATGTGGTTCCTTGGAATAATTTTTCGGAGAGTAGAAAATGCAGAAAGTGTTAACATAGACCTCACAGATGATATACAATCATTTACTGATACAGGTAAGACTGTTGTATTAGAGCTATGGTTGTAATCAGCCTTGGTTGTAATTTATTATTATTTGTTCAGGATCTGGCCAGCTATAAGAAGCATAGCTATGGGCTCAGGAATAGCACAGTATCTCAGATTACTTTTCTTGCAAACATATGCTCACGAGTCATATCCTGTTGTGTCACATGCACTTAGAGCTCAGTACTACCTTCTCTGTTATCTGTAATCTTTGACACTGCAAGCAGTTTCTAAGCTGCACCATAGCCAGGTGTGTGCAAGCACTGTAGAAATAGATGTAGCTATTGGCAACCACTGCAAGTAAAAAAGATGCATGTCCCATGGTTTGGGAGTACAACCCCTCTCTGATGGATACATATGCAAGAAGTGCATTGAACCCCTGGAAGTCCCATAACTGTAACCATTGGCCTAAGCTAAGAGTGCTTGCTCCAGTAAGCACATATGCAAGCACCACAATTAGAGCAGTGCAAACCACAAGCCTTGGTGAGCTCCACAACTGAAAAATGTACTAAAACCATCATTTGATTTGTGCAATCCCCAGTCATTGCAACAACATGAGCACAACCAGTAGCAAAGGAAAAAGGAGGGAAGACAGGAGTTAAAGAAAAATAGCCGTTTTTTTTTTTTTTAATTTTCCATGATTGTTTAGATGAATATGGTACATTATGGAAGCTTTTGCTAATATTTTTTAAAATAAGATATGGTGAAATAATACCTAGTGCATGTTAAGAGTGTCAAGGGTTAGTTCAGAATAGTTTATATAGTGTGCCACCATTTATAAATAATATTTATGCAGTGTATATAGTGTGCTATGTATTTATAAGCAAGCACACATAAAGAGTATGTGTTTGCTTATAAATACATTAATATCTCTAGAAGAATAATTTTAAAAATGTTAATGTGTTGCTACCAGGTTAAGGAATCAGACAGGTGTGTGTAAGGGACAAGGATAAAGAAACTCACTGAACACTCTTATTTTGCTGGTGGTGTAGGGAATTGGACCCAAAGATATATGCATTCAGGGCAATGTTCTGCTGCTGAGCTGATCCTGAGTACTCTTAATTCTTTTGATTTTCCTACTGTGTAAATATATTGTTTTAAAATGAGAGAAAATGAGAAACTTCAAAGGCAATACCTAGTGCCTAAAAATGATTGGATTTTTATATGAGAAAAACAGAATATTTTATTTAAAATAAACTTGCTGCATGTGTTTCATAACCAGTGCAAATAAGTGTCTTAATACATTTTGCTTCCAGTAACACCTAGAATTTCTTTACATAACAAATTTAGAGTTTTAATGATCTGGATATATTTATACTTTTAATATTCATGTATGAGCCCATATGCATCTTCTATGTTCTTTGGACTAGCCCTCATATTTATGATGAAAGTGTAGACTTCTTTGTTTTACTTTAGAACAACTGACTCAGTCTCTGGTAGTGGTGCCAGAGAATCTGTAAATTGAACAAGTACCGCTGGTAATAAAATTTCCATTCTGATTTGTACTTGCTTTTCAAGAAGGAAGAAGAAGATGGAAAACTTTATTATAGATATATAAAATATTTTTTTCCAGAAAAGGATATTGAGGTGCCAAGAAAAGAATAATCTATCACATTTCACAAAGCCGTCTTCCCTATCTTTAGTAAATCTAAAATCTGAGTGTTCACATTTGACATGCAGTAAACTTACGTGGTTGTAATGAAACAGATTTTCTTAAAAGATGTGAAAAGGTTTAAATGGGAATCTAGGAGGACTTTGTGTATTTTGCTCGTAGCAACAGGCCATTGAGTCTGGTTTCCCCATCTGTACACTAGAGATTACTTTTAGATGCTTTCTAACATACAGTGTTCTGTAATTGTTGAAGATTTTAAAATTTGCTTGGAGGAGCTAGAGAGTTAGTACAGAGGAATAGGCATTTGCCAAACAACCCGTTTGATCTTGCACCACTTCTGGTCTGCTGAGCAGCTGAAGGTATAGATATAAAAATCCAAAGTAAATAAGTTAATTAAAAATCAGGGACTGGGGTGATAGTACAGCATGTAAGCCTTGCTTACTATCTTACTTGCTTACTTACTATCTTGCTTACTTGCTTACTATCACTGGTCCTTGCACCCAGGACCAACCAGATTTGATTCTCAGTGCCACATATGGTCCTCTGAGCCTTGCCAGGTATGGTATCTTAGCACAGGCGGAAGCCCAGAGCATCACCAGGCATGGCCCAAAATCCAAAATGATACTTAGTTAGTAAAAAAAATGGCTGCATGGAGGAAAAGCAATTTTGTATTTGATAGAAAGTTTAACTTGGGCAGGAAATTGTAAAGAGCAGTTGACTTAGGAGGAGGGAAACCTTTTCCTCAATTTGTTAATGAGATGTAGTTATGAGAAAGGCTTAGGCATTGTTGGCATAAGAAAATTAGTAGTTAAATAGGATTGTGACAGGTGAAAATGTTTTAAGAAATATTTGTTTTGTGAGAGAGGTGTGTGTTTATCTGTAGTGAGGGGAGATACTGATGGCAGATTCATTTCATAGAAAGAAAGCAGTTTTGGTTTAAATAGAAGTTTCTCCCTTAACATCTTGACATTATTACAGTGTACAGGCAGGCAAACAATATAAACATGCTAAAGGAGGGAATGAAGATTGAAGCAACTCATGTTAAAAAAAAACAGCTTCATCACTACCTTCCAGCAGAAATTCTTCAAAAGAAGAAAAAGGTAGCTTGTGATCTTGATTTTTCTAGTTTTGTTCAATGTTCCAGTTTTGTTCCAGTTTCCATAAATGATCTCATGACAAAATTTGCATTCTTATGGCATCCATAGCCCTTGGGAATAAAGAGAAGTCCAGCCAGTTCAGTCTAGGACTAAATCACCTTCACTAATTACAAAAGATAATTTAATATATACTTAAGAATTGAAAAATGATTATTCTCATTTGATATTTAAGAGAGAGAGCGAGAGCGCGTGTATGTGTGTGGTAGCTGGATAGTTTTTACTGAACAAAAACTTAGATGGGAGGCACGTTGGGAGAAGGAACAGAATAATGTTCAAAAGAGCACATGTGCTTGAAAGAGCCGAGTAAGCATGCAAGCAAAAAGAGACAGGCAAGCAAGATACATGTTTAAGGGAGAATACAAGCTTGAAGAACAGTCTCATTTCTCTTTTAAAATCCTGAAAGTTTTTCTTCTTTTAGCAGAGTCTTTCTGATGTCAGTCGAAGTTCAAGTGGACCTCCATCCAAAAGATCATCTATGGATAGCAGTTGTTTGGATAGCTCCAGAGACACTGATAATGGAACACCTTTTAGTTCTCCATTGTCTACAAAGCAAGCTTCCAAGGCTGATAATCCTGCCGGAGAACCAGAAAGGTCTCTATTTCACAGTTGTCCTTTTAGTCTTCAGTTGATTTGAGGATAATTTATACCTTTGCCACATGCTTTGTCATTGTTAAAAGATTTTATCAATTGCTAGACAGTTTCTTATTTTAGAAACACTCAACAATTTGTATAAATTGACTTAAGAATATGTGGGTGTTAAGTACGCAGAATGCACTGGTATTCTCTTTAATATGTGGGGGTGGTTTGTTTTTGTTTTTGTTTTTTTAGTTCTTGTGTCCTCTTTTTCTCTTCTTTCATTTCAATGAAGTGTTAAAGTTCTTGAAATAGTCAAAATATTGTTTTAAATAAGTTATATTTAAATCATTTAATGGTGATAATTTAACTCTTTTTAATAGAAATAGTGCTGAACCTGTTGCTGTAAATGTGGAAAAGCCATCAACTGTCCCACCAGCTCAAGGACTGTCTATTCCAGTTATTGGTGCAAGTAGGTATCTAAGCTTTTGTTGGTTATGCCTCTACTGCTTATGTGTAGTTTAGTATACATATATGTGTACATATATGTACAGAGCCTGGCAAGCTACCCGTGTCGTATTCAATATGCCAAAAACAGTAACAATAGCGGGTCTCATTCCCTTGACCCTGAAAGAGCCCCCAGTATGGCAGCGTTGGGAAAGACGAGTATGGAGAGGCTGCTAAAATTTTAGGGCTGGGACGAATGGAGATGTTACTGGTGCCCGCTCAAGTAAATCGATGAACAACGGGATGACAGTGATATAGTGATACGTGTATATAAACATATATATACACATGTATATGCATGTATTATATATAATTGCTAAATTCTTTCCTTTTTCCTTTTCAGAAGTTGACTCTGCAGTAAAATCTGTATCGCCCCCAACTGTGTGCACTATTCCTACTGTAGTAGGACGTAATGTCATTCCGAGAATCACAACACCTCATAACCCTGCCCAGGGACAACCACATATAAATGGAATGTCAAATATAACTAAAAATGTTACAATCAAGAGATCTCATTCCCCATCTATTGAGGGGTCTTCCAAGAGGTTGAAAAACATAGAAAAGGTAACATTATAATCTTAGTGATTCATTAATTCGTTTTTAAAGTTAACTTAAAAATAGTACAAAGAAATATGATTCTCCATTACTGTCTTAGTATTCCATTAGGATTTAACTCTTTAAAAAGATTATTAGGAACTAGAGAGTTAACTCAAAGGGCATGCTTGGCATGTTGCCTGAGTTGGTACCTTAGGGATCTGGGGACATGGCTCAGTGGTAAGAGTAGTGCTTTGCATGTGTGAGGTCTTGGGTTTAATCCTTGGCACCACCCCACATTGTCAGGTGTGTTCCCCACTTTATGCTCGGAGGTTGCTCCCAGCTAAGTTTGGGTTCCAAAATAAGTTACTTTATTTTTCTTCAAAATAGTTACTTTTAAAGAACCTGCACTGTATTAGGAAGTGGCTCAGATTGGTTCTTTCAAGTTTGAGTTATGCTTTATTTCACGTAGTGCCAAGGATCAGACTGGGATCAGTCGCATGCATGGCAAGTACCTTAACCCTTGTACTATCTTTTAAAGAAAATATGCCCAAACCCTAAATCAGTTGTTCATACTGAATTCAGATTACTTATTTGTCTGAAAACATAGATGATCTGTTTTTCCTTGATTTGTACTACTAAGTCATTGTTAGTAGCTAATCATTGTATTATAAAGTTTACTGGTAATATTTTACCAGTACCTGGTAATATTTTGTATAATCTGATTTAACCAAAAATATCACTAAACCTAAAAATTTAGAGTGGTCATTGAATCAAGTCTAATTTCTTCAACACATTTGTGGAAGATTTTGATCTTTCTAAGTGCTAGTTTATAAAACTTGTATGGTTTTTATAGATACATAATAGCAACTCATTATAATGTTATATTTTAGTTGACTCGACTTGAATCAGGATTTCATGAATCACGTGTTACTGAAGACAGGAAAAGGAAATCAGTGGTAAATATATTTAGTGTACTTCTTCAAAATATTTTCCCCCCTTTTTATTGATTTATCATTGGTTTGGGGGCCACACCTGGCTATGTTCAGTGCTTACTCCAACTCTGAGCTCTATTCCTGGCAAGACTGGTGGTCCTGTATGGTGCCAGGGATCAAACCAGATTCTCCTGCATGCAAAGGATTTGTCATTAGCTTATAGTATTGTAGAATTTCAGAGTTAAACTTGACTGGCATCTTCATAGAGAGTTCACTGCACCCTTTCCAGTGCCATACCATCTACAAAAAGACTACTGTCTTACTTTAGCCATCCATTTTTCTCTTTCATCCATCTCCCTTTCCTTTCAGTATGGCTGTAGCTTCATCAAGACTATTCATAAAATTAGTTTGTTTTTTTGCCAGGTTGTTTGCTTTAGTTACAAGATTGTTACTTTTTTTTCCTTCAAAATAGTTATTTTTAAAGAACCTTACTGTATTGGAAAATGGTTCAGATTATATCTGTTAAATTTCGATTATGTTTTATTTCATGTAGAAATAAATGTTTGCATAAAGGAAAGAAAGTTTACTTATGTATAATTGTTTTATTTAGGATGCTATTGGAGGAGAATGCATGCCTATTCCAACTATTGATACAGCAAGAAAAAAGGTAACAATTAGTCTTAAATATATAACAATTTATAGCACAGCGATAGGGTGTTCGCCTTACAAGCGACCAACATGGCCGACCCGAGTTCGATTCCTCCGCCCCTCTCGGAGAGCCCGGCAAGCTACCGAGAGTATCTCGCCCGCACGGCAGAGCCTGGCAAGCTCCCCATGACGTATTTGATATCCCAAACACAGTAACAACAAAGTCTCCAATGGAGACGTTACTGGGCCCGCTCGAGCAAATCGATGATCAACGGGAGGGCCTTTACCTTTTACCTTATAAGTAATCTGCAGGTATGAAAAAATCTATTTTAAAGCCTATCCACTTAACCTTCCAGGTTTCCCAGAATTTATTGCCATTCTGAAGCAAAAAGTGATTTCCGATTTTTTTTTTTTTTTTTTTTTTTTTTTTTTGCTGTTAGGGCCATACCCTGCGGTGCTCAGGGAATGCTCCTGGCTCTGCACTCAGGAATTACTCCTGGCAGTGCTTGGGGGACCATATGGGATGGCAGGGATCAAACCTGGGTCAGCACATGCAAGGCAAACTCCCTACCCACTGTATTATTGTTCCAATCCCTCTGATTTCTTTTTTAGCGGAATTTATAAAAATCCTCTTCTACTGTCATAGAGGTTACCAAACATACAAAAAACATGGATATATAGTATGATAATGGAAGAATTTCTGATATTAAAATGTAAAAGAGATCGTAATGTCTGGGGCTAGAGAGATAGTAGTTTCAGTCCCCCAATCCCACATTTGGTCCCCAAGCACCTCCAGAGGTCATTCCTACACAGGAACCAATAGTAACCCTTGAGTACCACTAGATGTGGTTAGCCCAGGCTGTGTGTGTGTGTGGGGGGGGGGGGGGGGCGGGGGGGGGGTTGGAGTGGAGCTGGTGCAAAAAGGTTTTTTAAAAAGGAAAGAAGAAGCCATGTCTGGGTTTTGCTTTAACGTTTTTTATGTGTAAAGAGATGCTTAGGGCTTACTCCTGGCTCACTCTTAGGATCACTTCTGGCCTTGGGGGAACCATATGGGGTGCTGGGGATTGAATGCAGGGTGGTAGTGTGAAGGCAAACTCTCTACTGCACTGTACTGTCTCTCTGGCTACTGGCAAAGTTTAATATCTGAGTCTTGGTTGTGGCATCTAACTCATTATTTCAATTTTTGCTTTTTCTTTTTTGTGACAGTGCTCAGGACTTACTCTTAGCTCTGTACTCAGAGATCACTCCTTGTGGTGCTTGGAGAACTATATGGAGTGCTGGAGATCAAACTAGCTGTATGAAAGGCTAGTGCCTTCACTGCTGTACTATCTGTCTGCTCCTAATACTTTGCTTACTTTTTAAAAATATTTTATTTTTTTGTTTGAAGTTTTTCATGGTTTTGAATTAGTTACAGCTTATCCACTCACTGTACTGTCTCTCTGACCCTAATTTTTCACCTTCATGTTTGAAAGTTTTCATGGTTTTGATGTGAGTTTGATACAAGTAACTTTTCAGCCAAGCTAACCTATGAGAATTAATTTGTAGTCATGTCTTAACAAGAAATCAATGTACTGCTTCCATAACACAACTCTGTTTTGAGAGGTTATCAATTTCATAAATTTTGCCTTTTTAACACAGTAATCTTTCATATCCACAAAAGGTTCTTGACTTCACCTTTATCGAAACTACTTAAAACTCTGACCGGAGATGCTGGATTGTTTTTTCTTCTTACATTTAAAAAAAAAATTTTTTTTATCTCATCACCATGAGATACACACAGTATATGAACAAAGTTGTTCATGATTGGGTTTCAGTCATAAAATTTTCCAACATCTGCACCTTTACCAGTATACATTTCCCACCATCAGTGTCCCCAGTTACCCTCCCAACACCCATTGCAGAAGCTATTTTCTTGACAGCCCAGATATGTGACAGCTTGTGTATTATTTTCATCAATAATACACACTTGTTTTGGGTTTTTTTCTTTTTAACCTCATACCCCATGAGTTTCTTGTTTAATGGCCATGCCTTCCTATTCTTACTATTGCCTGCTTGAGGAGAAATATGTTCCTCTTGCTTTTCTTATTCCAGAATGGCCAGTTGGGGATGGAGGCAGCCAAAGCAGGTTTGAGCCCTGGAATCCCATATAGTTCCCTAAGCCAACCGGGAACGATCTGAGTGCAGAATCAGGAGTAAGCTCTGAGCATAGTCAGTTCTATGCTCCTCTCCCCCTGAAAAAAAGAGGAGCAATTGATTTAACAAAGTCTTCTTTCCTACATATATTCCTCTAGCTTTTTTTCTTTTTCTGTTTGTCCTCCCCCCTTTTTTAAAATTTTATTTATCTAGCTCCTGTCCTTCCTGTATTCTTCTACCTTTTGCTTCTGACTCTAAAAAAATAAAGTTCAATCAAGAGACGCCAATGAAGATTGGGGACAAATAAATACTCAGCAACTATTTGAATGTTGTTGGACCTTTACAATGTTTTTTTTTTTTATCATTTTCTTTATAATAGAGACTACTGAGTAAAGAACTACCAGATTCTTCATCTCCAGTTCCTGCAAATAACATCCGTGTCATCAAAAATTCCATTCGACTGACGCTTAATCGGTAAATGCAGTGCCTCCTCACTAAAGTGAATATGCAATCATTTAGTGGCATAGAGACAGCCACTTTTTTAAAATAGAAGTGGTTGTTATAGATAAAATTGGGTGGAAGTTACTGTCATCAGTTCAAGGACCTTAAAGTGGTTTTTGAATATGCACTTTGACGTGCAGATGACGTAGCATAATAGTCTCTCATAGATGCTACAGACCTGTCTAGGGGATCACTTGCTATCAAATTGTCACATATAATATTATGGCTTTGCATTGAAGGTTTTTCTGCCTTAACTTTCAATGCGTATTTCTCTCTTATGGGAACCAGTTCTTGGCAATTTGGAAAATGATTTTTTTTCAAGTACTGAAATTTTTTTTAAGTCTTATGTTGTAATCATTGTATAAAACTAAAGTTAAAACAAAAAAATTTTTGTCCTATAAGTTTCCAAATTTTAACATATTTGCTTTAGCATTGAAGCCACTTTGTGAAACCTGAGAAAAATGAATGTGAGTTATATTTTCTCCTTTTCTCATTTGTGTAAATGTATTGTTGTATGTTCTATTGATTTAAATTATTTTTTCAAGATTGGCACATGGAATATTTAAGTTATTGTTTTCTTGTGCCTTTCTGTTCAAATGTTGCAGTTACCAGGGAGAATTAGTCCAGTCATTACTATAAGAGTTGGACACCATAAATTCTTTATAATTTTGCCTCCCATGGAGGCCTTCAAAATGCATCTTTATTAAGAATCAAAATATTACCAGGATACTGAAAGTCAGTATTATGAATTGTGAAATTGTTATATATTCTATCTCATGCCATTCTTGTAAGTAGACCATTCTTTTTTACAGAGGAGTAGCTCATTCCAACACCAACAATAAGAGATCTTTAAGTATGGCAAACTTGTATTTTTGAGGTATAAAATTAACTTGGCATGATAATTTCTGAACATTACCCCACAACTTCAAATGTTTATTCACAAGCTAAGCATGCAGAAATAAGCAGTGGATTTTATTAAAATCTAAAGACATTTTTGAATGACATTGTTACCAAGTATTAATTGGCTCAGGACCTTTGTAATTATTTAATTATATGAGTTGTCTTTTTTTACACTGCTTTTTTCAATGCATTTCTTAATATTTTTTAAGTTTCATGAATGCATGCTCAGTTTATTAAACTCCATAACCATGTAATTCTTGTAATATGTTGATTCAGTGTTTTGTAAATGAAGTCGTATGTATTTTCAGAGTATTTTTGTATGTACTGTAAGATAACCATCTTTTCAAAGAGAAAACTTTAAAACCTTTATTGTCTCTAGTCTAATTTTTTAAATATCAGTTATGCTTGAATAATTCTTGAAATATATGGAGTACTCAGTCAGGAACGCCAGTTACACTTTCTTCAGCTTTCACTCGGGTTTTGATAAGATTCGGTAGGAAAAACACAAAATGATTCATTTAAATAAAATGACCTTGGTGTTATGTATTATTTATGGAACTCAAGGAATTCTCTTCAGCCAGTGTAATAACATTAATAGCAGCCTGCTTTCTCTTATAAGCCTTTTACCACTGAGTTGAAATACTTGAATTCTCATTGTCACAGAGCACTGTCTTCTGTCTCTCCTGTTTCCTATCTCCTAGGTCTCTAAAATAAAAAATGTAGTGTTTGAATTTCTATAAGAAAAACTTCTTAGAAGTTAAAAAAAAAAGGCATATAAAAACCTTTTTTTTTAAGAAAACTTTTTGCTTTTGGTGTGTGTCTTTTGGATTCGGGGCCACACACAGAAGTGCTCAGGGACTACTCTCAGCCCAGAGGGTCCTGCTGACAGTGCTTAGGGGACCATTTGGTGTTAAGGACCCGGTCTTCTGCATACAATACATTCACTCCAGTCCATTGGGCTGTCTCCCTCCCCCACCCCCCTTTATTTTTCACTTCCTACATAGCACAAGACCAGAATGAAATCCCATAGCCAATTTGTAGCTGTCTTAGAAGAAGAAAGGAAGGAAAAGAAGGAAAGATTATTATTTTTTACTTTATTTTGGGGGGTGGGGGGGTGGTGCCACAGTTGTGGAGCTCAGGGCTTGCCCCCTGCTCTGCATTCAGAGATCATTTTTGGTGGGCTCAGGCAACCACACAGTTAATAGTTGACCTCAAACTCTAATAAATTATTCATAAGAAACTTAATTAAATTTTATACATCTCAAGTTTGTATATGTGTACATAAAAGGTAAAGGTAAAGGCCCTCCCGTTGATCATCGATTTGCTCGAGCGGGCCCAGTAACGTCTCCATTGGAGACTTTGTTGTTACTGTGTTTGGCATATCGAATACTCTCAGTAGCTTGCCGGGCTCTCCGAGAGGGGCAGAGGAATCGAACTCGGGTCGGCCATGTTGGCCGCTTGTAAGGCGAACGCCCTACCGCTGTGCTATCGCTCCAGCCCATAATATTTAACTATTATTCCATGGTTATCAGTCTTTAAAATCTTTTTTAAAGGGGCTAGAGTGGTAGTACAGAAGGTAAGTTGCTTGTTTCGCATGGGGCCAACCCAGGTTCAATCTCCAGCATTCCATATGGTCCCTTGAGTACCACCAGGAGTAATCCTGAGTGCAGAGCCATGAGTAACCCCCATGTATCATTGGGTGTGGCCTCAACACAAAAAATAAAGTCTTTAGGAAATTCTTCTGCATTTCTGTGATTACTTTTTTTTAATTCAATCTTCATGATAATAAAATGAGAATAGATGTAAATTCCCTCAATATAGTTAAAGCTTCTACCACAAACCCACAGCTATCATACTAAATAGAGAAAATCAGAAAGCCTTCCCTCTAAGATCAGGCACAAAACAAGGTTACTCACTTTTACCACTATTACACAGTATAGTATTGGAAGTCCTTGCCATAGCAGTTAGGCAAGAAAGAGATATTAAAGGCATCAGATTGGAAAAGAAGTCACATTCTGACTATTTGCAGATAACATGATACTACACTTAGAAAACCCTAAACACTACTCAAAAACTGCCTAGAATCAATAAACCTATACAGTAACATGGCAGGCTACAAAATCAATGACGTTTTCAATAAATCAGCGAAGATTTAATCTTTGTTCCTGATCCAAGTTCTATAGTATAGTCATTTATTTAAAGGACTTTTATGATAAAGTCATCAGTGGTTCAACTAGACTGCAAAGATAGCACAGAGGAGTTGATGTGATACTTTTGAGCTGTTTGGATCAAAAGTTACCTTTCCTGGGGCCAGAGTGATGGTACAGCAGGTAAGGCACTTGCTTTGTACCTAGACAGCCAACTATACCCCCCACTGCCATCCCATATTCAGGAGACCACGTGTCACTTGGGGGTGGAACTCAAAATTCTTGCACAGCATGCACTCAGCCCACTGAACTCTTCTCAAGCTCCTTTCATGTTGTGATTTAGATTAGAACAGACCAATCGAAATTTACTTTTAAGTGAACGTATATTTGAAAGAGGATCTTGAAAGACAGTGTGGTAGATAAGGCATTTGGCTTCAATGCATTCAACCTGGGTTTGATACAGGCACCACATATGGTTCCTCAAGCACCACCAGCAGTGATTGATCCCTGGTACTTGATACTGTGAAGTGATACACCACTGTTACCTCAAGGAGGTTCTACAAACTCAGAGCAATTCTAGGTGTTCACTAAAATAAAATATTAACTTGAAATTACATCAAAGCTAATAATGATAATCTTATGGTTCAATTAAATATAAACTTCAGAAAAATTGATGGTAAGGGTTAAGCCTTAAAATCCTGAAGAAGTATTAGCCATTATTAAAATTTATTTTCTTTTATCATTTGCATTATTACTATCATTATGGCCTACATCATATATTTTGAAAGATACAGAAGACAGTTGTTCATACATACTTTTGTTTCTTGGGGCTGCACCTGGCTCCTTCTGTCATGGTCAGGGATCACTCCTGGTAGTGATCAGGAGACCATATATAATGCCAGAGAACAAACCCATATCAGCCTCACATAAGGCAAATGCCCTACTAACTGTACTATTGCTCAGCTCTAACCCATATATCTTGAATGCTAGTATTAAATTCACAAATAAGAGCTTGTATATTCATCATTAATTATTAGTAAGCCACTCATGGCCCCAGTGAAAAACATCTGACAGTAAACTACTGTAAAACCTATATATACCAAGAAGTGAATAATAAAAAGCAGCTAATATTCAATTGTAAAGTGTGAGCATTCTGCTTGGATTACCAGGTCACCTTCCCAGCATGTGAATTTCTGATTAGAGCAACCCATTACTCTTAAATTATAGTTTTCATGCTAAACTGAACAGAAGTAGCAATATTCATTGTGGACTTGAATACATTAAGCTACCAAAAACAAAATAGAATTTATTGCGTTTAGAGGTCTCTCAGGGCTCAAAGGGACGAAGTGCATCCATAGAATGCAGGAGTCCTGGATTCATCTTCTGCCCCTTGGTGGGGGGGGAGGGGGAGTACACTGCCCCCCCCCACCTTCATATTCATTTCATTTCATTTCATCATCCTGTTAATCGTCGATTGCCTCGAGCAGGCCCCAGTAACGTCTCTTTCATCCTAGCCCTGAGATTATATTCAGGGCTCTTTAGGAGAATGAGACCCATCATTGTTACTGGTATTTGGCATATTTGGTAGGCCACGGGGAGTTTGCCAGACTCTGCCCTGTGGGCAGGCTACATTCGACAGCCTGCAAGTTTGTCCAAAGTAGGAATGAGATAAAAAGATGTCGCGCGGCCACAAATGCGGCCGCGCAGTTCCGGGATCTGGATTTTATAGTCTCTGAGTCTTGGCCGCTGATGGGATTACACGGCGCCAGGGGGCCAGGTGGTGGGTGTGACCCCCGCCTACTGGAATTTGGAGGATCTGGGTGGAAGATGCTCGACTCCAATTCGAGTAGGCTTGGAGGTCTCGGCCCCGGAACCCGCGTGGCTTTGTCCCTCTGCCCGTACCTTCAGGTGTGCGGAGAGTGGTCTAAGCATGGTGGTGGCTGGTCCTGGAGGTCTCCGGCTGCCGTAGCCCTGGCCGGGGCGGGGAGGAAAGCTCAACCCGCTCCCCTCCAAGGGACTCCGGGAAGGAACACCGAGGCGCGGGGGCAGAGACTGCACTGCTCTCGTCCGGGATCTGGATTTTATATATGATTTAGTTAATTTAAAAAAATTTTTTTGCCTATTAAAAGACATTTAGTAAGCAAAAATGTCTACTAAATACTTCTAAGCTCATCCTTGACAGTCTCTGATTATTGACATTTTGCACCTAATATGTACGACCTCCTTCCTTGATTACATGGTCAGGAAATTATCATACTATTCCAACATGTTACATACACTTTAACATTTCAATTCTGACTTTTATGATGTTCAGTTTGCCTGTTGGTTTCTCCTGACAAGGTTCTACTGATGAGAGTAGTAATATTTATTCAAGAGTCTATGTGGTGGGTGCCCTGAACACACAGAAAAGAAAAATGCCCAATTCCGTTTGTTTATTTATTTATTTATTTTCATTTGAATAAGGTTATCTAGAAAAGAGTGCTTAGGAAGAAACAAGATACAAAGGCAAAATAAACCTAGTGAAAATAGTTTAACACAATTTTTAGGGACTGTAGAGAGCTGAGTATAGCCAACTGTGACCCCAAAACTAAAAGGATTTTCCAACTTTGAATTGTAATACTCTAAATTTGTCTGTGTTGTGATGTATGTGCGTGTGTGTGTGTGTGTGTCGGGGGCGTGGGGGTCGCAGTATTCTTAGGGTGTATCTTTTAATTTGGGGTGGGGTTTTTAGGCTACAGCCAGTGGTACTCAGAGGTTATTCCTTGTTTTGTGCTCAGGGGTCACTCCTTGCAATGCTAGTGGCCTATATGTGTTGCCGAAAGTAGAACTGGGGACACTGCATAAGAGGCAAGCACCCTTATCCCTGTTTATAAGGATACCTGAAGTTAACCTTATAGAGATCTGATTGCATACTTTGGGGACCCTGACCCTAGTATGCAATCATATCTCCAGTTTATCTCCCAAAGTATGTGGTCATATTTACCCAGTATGTCTGGGCCCTAAAGTATGTAGGCATAGTAACCAGATGTGATATAATATCAGTAAAGGGGAGGGGGGAGAAAAACAGAAAAACATGGAAACCTTTAAGGTAGAGTACATTTATTTTTTAAAATGAGGGAATTCAGCTTGCTCTTTTTTTTTTTTTTTTTTTTTTTATATAATTTATTTATTTATTGAATCACTGTGGGAAAAGTTACAGAGCTTTCGGGTTTAGGTCTCA